TATAGTTAAAATAGCATCATATATGCAAAAGTATTTTGGTTGCAGATAAACTGTAAAAGAACATAGAAGGAGGAACACATTAGCATTCATCCGATACAATCTGGTGTCGCAAAGACTTCATGTACTGGTAATTTGAATGAACCATCTTGATGTTTTTTCTGCCTCACAAAACACAAAGTGATGAAAATGTCCTCTTACAGAGCAGCCATCACCTCCAACCAGATTAAATCTAATGGCTCCCCAGACTTTTAAAGAATTTTCCACCTTGCTGTCACTCCTTTTACACAGAATGTTATCAATTTTACTAAGTGACCTCACCCAGGTCAGCCAGAGTTTACTGTATTCTTGTGATAAGACCCGTGTATACTTGGATCCTTTATGTCTGGGTGTGTGTGTGTTTTCAGGTCGGTGCCAACGTGCTGATTTTTCTGTGCACTAACATGATCGGGATCTGCACCCACTACCCTGCTGAGGTCTCCCAGAGACAAGCCTTTCAGGAGACGAGAGGATACATTCAGGCCAGACTGCACCTGCAGAGGGAAAACCAACAGCAGGTAGACACACACACCACTCACACACACATATATTGAGACATGGACACTCGACCAAAATAAGGCAGGAACACAGCCATGCCCACAGGAAAAGGCATCACAAATGCAAATGAGTAACCAATGGTGTCTCCGTTTCATGGTCCAATTTGTTTGTCTCAGTTTTTGAGGTCAACAATATGTTCAGGAGTGTTGCGCGTGCCTCCACTTCTTTCTATTTGACTAACACATTCCCACGCAGAGGCTGGCGAAGCATGAGTGGCGCACTCACCCTTCTCACTCTGAGAAACGGTGAAAACAAATGGACTTTCCTTCTCATGCCGTCCTTCTTTTAATTCCACTCTCCATCTCCTTCTCTGCCTCTCAGGAGCGCTTACTCCTATCAGTTCTGCCAATGCATGTTGCCATGGAGATGAAGGCCGATATCAATGCCAAGAAGGAAGATATGATGTTTCACAAGATCTACATCCAAAAACACGATAATGTGAGGTAAGCCTGGATGGAGATACGTACAGCTCAGTCATATGTTCTGCCAAATAAGCACATTCATCAAAGATGGTGTTGTAAGGCTAAAACTGAGTTTCGACCTCACTCTGGTTCAGCGATGTGCGGTGAGCTTTGTGACAGGTGAGGCACTGACTGTCTGGAATCGGTTGCTCACATATATGAACCAATAATAGAAGCTTATATTTCAATATAAATTGTTTTAAAATAATTAGAAAATGTTTGACACTTCGTTGTGCAGAGATGTTCTTCAACTCAACGATTCTTTCACATTTGTCTTATGGAGCTACTCTTTGGTCACAGACTCACTAACTACACTTAAACCAATGAAAAGTCTCTACAATCGGGCCTTGAAGGTTTTATACCAAAAGCCAATCAGATTTCATCACTGTAATATTTTAACTAAGTTCGGTATTCTAGAATTTTCCAATTGTATAAATTACAATTTTTAAAAAATTGATCTTCAAATGCTTAAATGGACTTGCACCCAAACCATTAAGCAATTATACAGAAACTGCAGGGCTACAGCCGATCTACCAGAGTGAATTTAAATGGTGACTGTAAGGTTCCTTTTCGTAGAACCACATTTGCTCAAAGTGCTCTCTCTGTGAGAGCAGCCGCAGTTTGGAACTCACGCTGTCAAGTTTAAAGTCTGTAACCAGATTCAATATGTTTAAAAAAACAAACTAAACTCTGGCTGTGTCGAAAACAGCATTGCACTCATGATTAATTCATTTTATTATGTTTTTATCCACTTGTTTTATGTGCATGACTCATCTAGTTTAGAAAAGTCCTTTAGTTTTGAGATATGATCTTCCATTTTGTCTAAACAAATTGAAATGAGTGTACCGTTTGCTTCACCCCTGCTGCACCTCCGTGTAACACAGTGACTGCACCTGCTCCATTGTCTCTAAGGGGCAGCACTGCCCCCTATCGGTGCGGAATGGTATATTCTGCCGCACCTCTCGTGTTTTTCAGCGTGCAGTATGACCGATTAGAAAGAAGAAATACGTCACACACATGCATTCAGTATATTAGACAGACTGCAGAACATCAGCATGTGTAGCATATGTGTAATCAAACATATTGGTGATATAAAGAGAGACGGCAATGAGCATGCACCAACCGCCTACTACATATATTGTATATGACACAGCGCCCCCAGAGGTGAACTAGAGCACTACACTGCCTCACCTCGCATTGTTTGAACAGACAATGCGTAAATTCTGCAATTTTGATCATTGCAGTGTTGAAATAATTCAGAAAACAATTTTTTAGAACTGTCAAGCGGTTAAATATATTTTCTCTTATCACTGTCAGTATTTTACTGTCATGATGACAGGAGAGGCACTGCCTCACTTGCCTCCCCTGACTGCTCGTCACTGCTTTGGTTTGACTAATGTGCGCGTTCCTGTGAACTCCAAATTTATTGACAATTTTGACCATGTTGAATAATTACCTAATGACACTGTTGTACTGTATGCTGCTCATCTGCTGAGCTGGAAGAACTGAAATATGATTGAAACATCATGTGCTGTCATGTCTGCAGTGGTATGGAGAATAAAACGAGGTTCCAAGCAGAACTCTTGTTTCAGAGATGACCCAAATAAGTTCTGTTGATCCACTTAATGCTATAATCTGTTGCATCTCCGCTGCTTTGCCCAAGAGTAAACTTACAGGAGTAATCCATTATCGAAATGGAACCCTTGCTGTCTTTAGCACAAATCGATGCTCAGGTCAACAAGAACCCCAGGCAACAATTAAATCGAAGTTACTCATGTTTTGTGGTATAAAAAGCATATTTTTTAATCCATAAAGTTTGCATAAAGGTGATTATGGTTAAAAGAAAATGAGGTTTAACCTTTTTATGCAACAGTTTTTTCTACCTAATGCAGTATAACTGACCTTCATACAAAGTACTACGGGGACAAAAGTCTAAATTTAGAACAATCTCCTGATTCTTTTTGACAAGTTAAATATCTGCTTTTCAAGTAGTCAGCTGCCACTAACGCTGAACAAAAGTGTAAACGCAACATTTGTTTTTGCTCTCATTCTTTATGAGCTGAACCAAAAGATCCTAGACTTTTTCTTTGTTCATAAAAGGTCTCTCAAATATTGTTCACAAATGTGTGTAAATCTGTGTTAGCGAGCACTTCTCCTTTGCAGAGATAACCCATCCACCTCACAAGTGCGGCATATCAAGATGCTGATTAGACAACATGATTATTGCACAGGTGTGCCTTAGGCTGACCACAATAAAAGGCCACTCTAAAATGTGCAGTTTTATCACACAGCACAATGCCACAGATGTCACAAGTTTTGAGGGAGTGTGCAGTTAGCATGCTGACTGCAGGAATGTCCATGTTCAGAGAATTTGGCAGAACATCAAACAGGCCTCACAACCGCAGACCACGTGTAACCACACCAGCCCCCGTGTTCATTGTCCCCAACATAAACCTGCCCATACCATAACTAGGCCTGTTGCGATAAACAATAAATCAATTAATCGCATGATAAATGAAAATTATTGACCTCATTTTCATTTATTGGCTTTATTGTTTCTTTGTGTGTCTCTCTTTCTACTGAAGACACTGGATGACAAAAAGGCTCAACTCTGGTGCTCTTCTCTGACCCTTCCTGTTCTCTTTTTTCTTTACCCGAAAACCTTATATAAATCCAGAGGAGACAGAGCCTTTTCAGCTCTGGCTCCTAAATTGTGGAATGAGCTGCCGCTGGAGGTCAGGCAGGCCCCATCACTTTTTGTTTTTAAAACTCGTTTTAAAACACTTTTTTTCGCCATTGGCTTTTAACCTAGAGCGATTTAGCATCTGTGTCTTAATGTTGTATTCTTTTACTTATGATCTGCTGATTTTTTTAATATATATTTAGGTGTTTTTATTGTTTTACTGTTTTTTGTTTGTTTTTAATTTTGTACAGCACTTCGGACGGCTGCTTGTTGTATTTTAAGTGCTTTAGAAATAAATTGGTATGGTATTGGTATGGTTGATCTTTAAAATCTGTTTTAACCATCCAAAATTGCGTTTTTGGACCGTTAAAAGCAGCTAAGCTGAGAAGCTAAGCTACATCCTAAACTAACAGGCCGACCTTGTGAAAAAAAAAAAAAAAACATCTTGTCAAAGCTCCAAAATTCACAGTTGAAACTCGTGCCTTTGTCTAAAAAGTTGTTTTTCTCTGCAAAAAGAAGCTGAGAACTTGTTTACTAATTATTTTTTTAATTAAAAGCTTTGTGTGACAAATGCTATGCTAAAGAGCTCAAACCGCACCAAGCATCCGCCCTTTTGAGAACCGAAAAAAGGAAGGATCGAGACAGCCCATGTCATGTCATGGGGCCTCCCTCCCATTTTTCTTAAAGAGACACACTGCTCCTCCCTCACTATTCATCCTTCGGTTCAAACAGTCTTATACTGATATCCAGTGGTCAAAAAAGGTACTACATGCAAAACAAATTACCAACATATGTTCTTAAATTTGATAATTATTACTAATTATTGTCAAATTTCAAACAATATTATCGTTTATCACAATAATTTCTGAGACAATTAATTGCTCAGCAAAATTTGTTATCGTGACAGGCCTAAAAATAATGCCACCTCCACCACCATGGGCCACTTGCTTCACAACGTTGACATCAGCAAAATGCTTACCCACACAACGCAATACACACAGTCTGCCATCTGCCCTGTACAGTAAAAACAGATTAATCTATGAAGAGAACAACTCTCCAACGTGCCATACCCCATCGAATGTGAGCACTTCACTCAAGTCAGTTATACCGATGAACTGCAATCAGGTGGAAACCCCGATGGAGACAAGGGTATGCAGATGTGTTTCCCTGAAACTGTTTCTGACAGTTCGTGCAGAAATTCTTTGGTTGTGCAAACCGATTACTGCAGCAGCTGTCTGGGGGGCTGGCAATCTTGGATGGGAAGATGCTGGATGTGGAGGCCCTGGGCTGGTTTTGTTACATGTGGCCTGCAGTTGTGAGGCCAGTTGGATGCACTTCCAAATTTTCTGAAACACATTTGGAGACAGCTGTGGGGGAGAAATTAACATTCAGTTCACATACAACAGCTTTGGTGGACATTCCTGCAGTCAGCTTGCTAATTGTACGCTCCCTCAAAACTTGCAACATTGTGCTGTGTGATAAAACTGCACATTTTAGAGTGGCCTTTTGTTGTGGTCAGCCTAAGGCCCACCTGTGCAATAATCATGCTGTGTAATCAGCATCTTGATGTGCCACACCTGTGAGGTGGATTGATTATCTCTGCAAAGGAGAAGTGCTCACTAACACAGATTTACACACATTTGTGAACAATATTTTAGAGATTTAGTGTACATAGAAATAGTCTTAGATCTTTGAATTCAGCTCATGAAAAATGGGAGCAAAAACAAAAGTGTTGCATTTATATTTGTGTTCAGTGTAAGTTATTAATCAAATCGAAGGATTGCACATTTCCTGTTGTCTTACATGTCAGTTGCAACAAAGATTTTGTGTAAACTTTTGTCGCTCAAAATATGTATCGTTACGTAAAAGACAAAAGGCAGTTGCATAACTGCCTGCATTTCGTGGCGACAGGTGATAACTATCGGGTGCCAGTTATTTCTCTGAGTCAAGCAACATGTTGTTATAGTAATACTACCATAAACTGTCTGTTATATTTAGTTTTTTTCTAATCTTCTTTAACATTTGCATTGATTATTTTTAGGTGAGTGTACAAAATTATCATTTTATATTGTAAGCCTTACAGGTTTTTATCTCTCATCATGTTCAGTGCAGGAACTGACCTTATTTTTTATGTGTATCACACATATTAGTTTTATGCTGTTGTATGTTTTCAAGAATGTCAAAGTCATACTCCCTCTCCTCTCTGCCTGACTGGCCAAAACTAATATTATTGTTTGAGTTGGTACCATTTAGGCATGAGGTATGCAAGTCAGAGTTTAAGAAAATAGACTATAACATTTATATAACAATAAATAAGGGAGAGCAAATATAAGCAAAATGAAAAAAAAGCACTACAGGCAGTATGATTAACAGAAAAATTGTGTAATAAAATGCAAGTGTATTTTATTTCTGACAGCCAGGAATGAGCTAATAAAGAAGCATGCCAAAAACTACATTCACTACATGATGAAATGCTATCAGTGGTAATCTTATCATTTCAATGACTGTACTCTTTGGAGGCAAACATCCATCCTGGCTTACAGCCTTGGTCATCATGGGAAGACACAAACATTCTCTGGTCCACTGTTTTGGAGATCCAGATCTCCTGCTCCCATTAGAGGTCAGCCCAATGGGATTCACACTGACATCTGTCACCTTTGGCTGGAACCTTTGTTTTGTTTTTATTCTTATTTCATTAGTATCAAAAGTTAGAAATGAAAGGCATGCAGACAGGCATATGGGGGTGGTGGGGGGGGGGGTTGTTCTCAGAGGGAAGGGCTGGATGCGCTGACCTACATCAGCCTAGATGATGAGAGCCAGAACTAAATAAATGTCTGTCCCTTCTTTGTGCCCCTTCCTCCGCTGCTGGGAGGGAGCACCATGCTAACATGCTAACATGCTAACCAAAAACATGCATGTTAGACTGCCTTCAGGCCCAGGCCTCCATAGCAAAAGAGATCTGTGATCTCAATGGGATTTGTCTGGTTAAATAAAGGTTAATAAATAACTCCCTCCGTACTTTATCGACTGATCTAGTTGTTTGAATCTTTTTGCTTTTCTTTGCTGTCGCCCTCTTTTCCCCATCCTTCACCACCACCCGACCTGTAGCATTCTGTTTGCTGACATCGAGGGCTTCACCGGCCTGGCGTCTCAGTGCACGGCTCAGGAGTTGGTCATGACGCTGAACGAGCTGTTTGCCCGTTTTGACAAGTTGGCCTGGGTGAGACACCTGTTGACACCTGCAGATCTCTGAAAGCACTGCCTCTTATGTAAATTTAGTAGCCTCAGTGGTTGTTGGGTTAGGTTGTGTAACACACTAATTAGAGATTGACGGGTTATTGAAATCATGTATCTACTTGACATTAGCAAGCTGTGTGTGTTTACTGTAATTATTATTGTTGTTGGTGTGTTTTCATCTTTGTTGTGCAGGAGAACCACTGCCTGCGTATCAAAATCCTCGGAGACTGTTACTACTGTGTTTCGGGGCTGCCTGAGCCCCGGGCCGACCATGCCCACTGCTGTGTAGAGATGGGAGTAGACATGATTGAGACCATCTCGTGAGTGAATCGCACACTTGACATACTAAAAGAAATAGCGACACATTTCTCTGAAGGTTTAATTGTAAATATCTTGTTAGGATTCAGTAGAGATGCTGTAAATCTAAATGTGACTTGTTCTGACAAATGTGTGTGTGTGTGTGTGTGTTTGTATGTGCAGGCTGGTAAGAGAAGTGACAGGTGTTAATGTGAACATGCGGGTGGGCATTCACAGTGGGCGCGTTCACTGCGGGGTGCTGGGCCTGCGCAAGTGGCAGTTTGACGTCTGGTCTAATGATGTGACGCTCGCTAACCAAATGGAGGCCGGGGGGAAGGCAGGGTGAGTACCTTAACGTGATTCTTGGCCTGCCATTGTGTATCTGTTCCTCCTTCCTGTTCCTCTCAAACCCAGCCGGTCGGAGCAGATGGCCGCTTGTCCTGAGCCTGGTTCTGCTGGAGGTTTCTTCCACATGTGGGACTTTTTCCTTCCCATTGTTGCCTTCATGCTTGCTCAAGATGAGAGTATGCGATGAAGTTAAACTCAAATCAGTCTGCTCCTCAGATAAATAATGTTATTAACTTACTTTTTATGTATATGAATGTTTCTGTTCAGTGCCCTGAGACGACTTCTGTTGTGACTTGGTGCTGTATAAATAAACTGAATGGAATTGAATTATTCCACCTGCTGCCCCAATGAAGCTCATTCTGACAAACTATAACTTTTGATTGTGTAGACGGATCCACATCACCAAAGCCACGCTGCAGTACCTCAATGGAGACTATGAAGTAGAGCCTGGATTTGGAGGAGAGCGGAATGCGTACCTGAAGGATCACAACATTGAAACCTTCCTGGTACTTGGCTGCAGCCAGAAAAGGGTAGGTGCACGGTCGAGCATGTTCCTGATTATCTGCATACCCCCTTTAAAATGACACATAAGTGCCACATTTCACACAAACTGTGAAATAGCTTGTCACCTGGCTTATAGACCTTTGTTTGTGGTGGGATTTTTTTTTTCCCCTTTCAGAAAGAGGAAAAAGCCTTGATGGCCAAAATGCAGCGACCACGTGCAAACTCCACGGAGGGACTGATGCCACGCTGGGGGTCTGATAGACCATTCTCCAGAAACAAAGACTCTAAAGTCTACAAGAAGATGGTGAGAAACACACACTAAAAATAATAGGGTTTCTTCTCCTTTTTATATATTTGATGTCCAGTGCCATCCTCTCAATTCTCAAGTCTAATCTGAACAGTTTTATTTGGTTCAGTAGCTCTTATTAGACAATATTTATCTTATTTGTCCAGTAAAGTCGCAGAGCTTGTGAAATCCAACACACTCAATACAACCAAATTATCTCATTTGTTAAAAGAAGAACACAGAGAAATAAAACCTTTATATTTCAACAGTCGTGGGTCAGTTGCATGTTAATTTGGCACATCAGAGCTGTTATTGCAGCTTTGCTTGTGTTACAAAGTGGAATATATACTGAATATCTTTTAATAGTTAAACCTATAGCTTATGAATGGAGGCGCATACTGTTGTACAACTATAGCTCCACCCTGTAAGTTGACGGGATTTGAAACAGTCATGCTCAAGAGACACGGTATAGAGCTGGACTGTAGTCTTTATTTAGCACTTATTATCTCCATCTAAATTTTAAAGTATTGAACCCATCTCAATTAACAGGAAAAAAATCTTTATGAACACATCAACAAAAGGTTAACAAGAAAGTTGTTCTTTATCAAACGTTCTTCACCAAACTCTTCAACTTTCACACTAACACCCTCCTTGTTTCTCAACTATCTTTTTACCGGTAAACATTTTTGTTGTGAATATTTCAGTTATGATGAGCCAATAAATTCAAACCCACTGTAGTCAGAGAGTCAAAAGTCAGAGTTTCTTTATTGTCGTTTGCACTACGTGTGGTACATGTGGTGGAACAAAATTATGTACCGTGCACAGGGTCCCAGTTACATCCAACAATAAAATGTAAAAGAAAAACAGTTAAAAGAACAATAGAAGCAGCTACACTGCTTAAACACATTTTTAGGCTTGAAATTATTACCATTGGAAATACTTGTTGGAAGAAGTGACCATATTTAGACTAAAAAAAGTTCAACTAAACCAGTCCTTCTCAAATAGTGGGGCGTGACCCCCTGGGGATGCCCGGGGCAATGCCGGGAGGGGGACACATGTGACCCGGGAACATGCTTTTTTTTTTTGCCACAGGTTTTTTGTTTTTTTTTCCCCACCAATCTCATTTTGTCATTCCAGCAACTGTTCGCTCATATCTCTCAGTCTTACTAATAATGAAGTTATGAACAAATATGGCTGCCTTGTTGTTTTGGGAGCCATGCTTGAACCGTGTTGCTCCCCTCTGCTGCTGTTTTTAAGATGCTCTGGACGTCACTCACAGCAGCATGCAACAAAGAGTAAACTCAAAGCGAGAGCGACACCTGCCCCCTCTGTCCTCTTTCGCGTTGACAAATTTTTAAAGATTTATCGATGAGTTTGCTCATTGATCCCGACTTCATCATTTTGATTTTTTTTTTAAATCAGCACAAATTGTTTTCTTCTTTTTTTTTTTTTTGTAGGTCAAAGTGTTTTATATAACACCCCTGACTTAAAATGTTGCTGATCAATTTGAATTTATTATTATTTATTGATTATATTTAATTTAATTTTACAGTATAAAATGGTTAAAAATGTTTACAGTTTAAATAAGGATTTACGTTTTGTTTTTGGTAAATTAAGTTGTTTCTGTTACAGACTAATGTTAATAAATTTATTCTCCGTTATAAGTTGATCTGTATTCTTTTTTTGTTTTCTTTAATGTTAATAAGGGCACAATGTTATGCAGAGGTGTACTTATAACAATTTTATAGACAAATTATACTATTTACAGTCGCAGCAGAGAGTTAGGGGGTGGCGTGAAATGTTTACTTCTTTCTGGAGGGGCATAACAGAAAGTAATTGAGAAGCACTGAGCTAAATGTTGATATTCGAAACACAAGTTAAAATAACATTTTTAATTACGTTCTAATTAGGATGTAACCTCTGCTCAGCCATGTCAGCACTGTTTTTGCATGCAGAGCATTATTGTGCTGATGTCGTTACATTCCCAGGATCCCATATGTTCCAAACTCTACCAAACTTTTTGTTTGAATCAAACTCAATGTGAAGTTAAAGCATTTCTCACATCATATTCATTTTTGCCTGCGAATGTTTATGCTTTGTTGTGATTTTGATAGAACAAACATCTCCTTGTTGTGAGGACCAGATGAGCTTCTATCCCGTTCCAACAGTTACTTATGTCACGTTATACTTACACCAAGTAGAGGACCACCGTTTAATCATTTTCTCTAAAGGTCTGTAAGTTGTGGGCGAGAAAAGACCAAGAAAGGGCAGACAGGTGGACGTGGTACCGTGCAAACATTCAACCATGTCTGCACACACTTACAGCTGCTTAAAGCTGAAATTTTGTAGAAAACCTTCAGACAGCACTGCGTAAAAAAGAATACGAGCACGAAAAGTGACGAATGTCCTCAGAACCTGCAGCACGAGCCCGTTAAAGTTAATAGAAATATGAGAAGAGTCATTAATATTGGTTTATTTCAAACAGCCATGAGCCACAGCAGGACTCAGAGTTCTTCCTAGTTCATCGTGTTTAACCTGTTTGAAGCTGCAGCTGCAGATATTTTTCTGATCCTTCATTTTTCCTCACTTGTCTCCATCTCTCTTTTTTTATTTAAGCTTGAAGTTTCATTTCCGTTGATTTCCTGCATTCTTTCTCTCTTCCTCCTCCTCCCCCTCCTCCTCCTCTGTCCTTTCCATCTCAGAGGGTTTGAGCCCTGGGGGCAAAGAGGGTGTAATTTGAAGCCTCAGAGCATTAATTAAAACATCAGTCTGGCTCACAGGGATTAACTGTGCAGATGTCTCAAACACTGTCTATTTTTCTGTTTTACTGTAACAGCTCAGTAACATTTTAATTCTTATATATTTTTTGGGGCTCCCTGTCAAACAAGTTTATTTTCTCTCTCTGCTCAGGGCATCGAAGCAGCATCCAGTAAAGAAAAGTGAGTATTCCAGCCCCGTTTCTTTTTAATAGGGCAGCTCTTGTTATTAGAGGTCGTCTGGCAGACTGTCACTGTAGATCTTTCACTTGGGAGCCTGCTGTTGATTTTATTTAGTCAGAGCCCACACAGCGCTAATACCAAATTAGCCCCGAGTCTTCCTGCCTGTCATAACCTCATTCTTCAGTTCCTGACCAACCCTAAAGTGACTTGTTCCGTGTATCACAGCCGCTGCGTTACGGAGACTCCGGAGGAGGAGGTGGACGAGTTTCTTAAACGGGCTATTGATGCACGCAGCATCGACCAGCTGAGGAAGGATCATGTCAGGAAGTTTTGGCTCACCTTTCAAACGCCCGACCTCGAGAAAAAGGTTCATGTTTGGTGATAGAGAAGTGCTCCTGAGAACTGGAGAGTCTGATTGTCTCTCACTGAATCTAACTGTGATGGAATATATTCTTCTTTTTTTTCAGTACTCCAAAAAAGTTGACGATCGTTTGGGAGGATACGTGGCCTGTACTCTTTGTGTCTTCTTTTTTATCTGTTTCATTCAGGCAATCATTTTTCCAAAGTAAGTGATCATTCCAGAATGTTGCCTCCCCATGTTTCGACTGAATTACTGTCAGGAAATGTGTTTTTGATTCGTTTAGGAAGGGTTAACGAGAGCTGTACATCCTAACGAGCCTCCGTACTTCTCTTCCACAGAACAACACTTATGCTCGGTCTTTACATCAGCATCTTCATCATCCTCGCCAACATCCTTTTCATCTGTGCCATCTATTCCTGCATTAAAGTAAGAAACGAAGTCCTGCAGCACTCACATGTTTCCCTCTGGCAGATTATTTCTAGATAAGAGTGCTTATTACATGTCCACAGCAAGCCTTGTTCATGATATTTACTGTCACTTATCTGATCGTTTCTGTGTTGAAGCGCTTCCCAGCTGCCTTTCAGAATCTCACCAAGAAAATTATTCAGTCCCGAACAAACAGCACGCTGGTGGGCATCTTCAACATCCTCCTCCTCTTCATTGCTTCCTTTGCTAACATGGTAGGCACCAGAGATCTTTGTTTAGTGGTTTTGGAATAAGGAAGCAGTTGTTTCGCGTGAGTATGTTGTTTCAAGACGTCCCGCAACATGAAGTATAAAAAAAATTAAACCTTCTGATTGTATTTTGTTTGTTCTTTCACAATGTTCCCTTCACATGCTGCAGATCCCTTTAATTTGAAGATAGTCTGAACTGTTCTGGCTTTAAAACCAGAGCAGCTTCCCATGTGGGATTTGGAGGCATCTGCGCTTAATTTTACAAGATATCACTGTAGCCAAGGATTAAATCAGGCAATGGCTCTCAAGGGTTTAACCCCAACACATACGACTTATACATACTTTTCTAAGAGGGGTATACTATGAAGCAAGTTCAACAGAGCTGGGCTTTCTTCTTTTGGTCTGTGTCGACAAAACCCAATTCTACCAAGAAATTACAGCCATGGCTGATGTTACTTTAACTCAGATGTTCTGCGTTAGCTTCACATAAAAAGCTCTGCTGCACATCTTTTCTTTCTCAAAATACACCGATACAGCAACAAAATATTCAGGAAGATGACCCAAGACTTTATTCATAAAAACAGCTTGTTGTAATCATGGAAAATGAAGCTAAAGATCCTAACTGGAACACAAATGTTCCTCACATGTTGCAGAAAACTGTTGGTTACAATAAATCAGAACAGGCTGCGTGCTGAAGATCAGATCGGGCAACAGAGATTTTAAACTTTTATCTGATTATCTGAAAAGAATGAAAGAATTTGTGTGACATACTGGCTTGTTTTATCTTTCTTTCAAGCTTCAAGTAGGAGTTACTCTGAACAAACTTTATATTTTTTAATAAAAAAAAGTGGAAGAATGGCTCCACTGATAGCAAATGTTGCTCATCTCTGCTTTAGTGCTGTAAAGACTATTTTTACAGCTTATTCAGACACAAAACTGCATTTACAGAACGGTTTTCTTTTTAACTTTAGACTCTGCCAGCTGTATTTAGAACGGCTCTGATTGACGGACAGCGCAGACAAGTCTGTCGCCTGCTTTTGTTTCCAGTTTGTCAGATGGTGTCAGCTGTTATTTCAGTCCACATGTTATGCTCCTTTTGGGACCTGCAAACCAGAGACTCTTTTTTTTTTTTAAAACAAATCCTGCTTAAACCCCGACTGTGATACATGGAGCCATGTTAAAAATATCTATATATTTTAATCATAACTAATATCATGTATAGATTATGTTTGTCAGTTTTATATAGACAGTTTTGTGTTAGCATATGTGTGAAGTAAGATCAACTTCATATTAGTTCCCTTTAATAGAGTTTAGAGCTGCCACATACTGTATATCAGATTAAAATCAGATTTAAACCACTTCACTGAAGGCCAAGCATTCCTTGCTCGCCTGCCTCCTTTCATGCCACAGATTGTTTTATTGTTGTTTTGGTCAAACTTTGTAAATGATCTCATGCAACATCTGAGATCTCACAAGATGCAATAGCACTCAAAGTATGTGTTGTGAATGACTCTCAGCTGCTACCACATCCGGTTTTATCTCAAACTGACCGAGCTACAGTTATTTTTGTGTTTGCGAGTGCTGTTTGGGGTTGACCTGGAAAGTGAATCAGTTGTAGACGTTTATACTTTTCTACATACAGATGTCTTCTTTCTTGCCAGTTTACCTGCAGCAGAACGAGACTGGAGGACTGTGTAAAAGAGGAGCTGAACGCCACAGCGACTCTCTGCCTACTTCACAACCTGACTAAAACAGCCGAGGACGGGTTGACTCTGTGCTCCAGTCAGACTCTGCCCTGCCATTTTCCAGAGGTTGGTCCTACGCTCGTTGGCATTTTCTATATCACTGTGGGCTGAATGAAAAGTACGCTGGACCTAGAAAAATATGCAGCAAAACAGTAGCTAAAAGCTAAAACCAGCAAGGCCCTAACAAAAAGCTAAAACCAGCAAATATGTTGCTATAAGCTAAAATAAGCAAAGCAGTAGCCAAAAGTTAAAGTTATGATTCTGTTGGTGTGTGGAACCCTAGGTGCAAGCAAGCACAGGGAACTCGCAGAGTAACTTAAGAATTATATGTTATTCTTTTTTGTTATTGATAGAAAATAACAAACTGATGTGGCTGCAATTCTCACAGGAGACAGATAACGAACGATGAGACAAAACCAAAATGCCTTAAGGGACAATGCATGGACACGAGGAACATAGAGATATGCAGGCTTATATACAAAACACTGACAACAGATAATGACAGACACCTGGGGAAAAGACAATTATGAACATCCTGATGCATGCTCAATAATCCAGGTAGAAAAATCTAAAAACAGCACTTCAGACTGAGGAAGTCTTTCGGATGAAAGACGAAATGTTTCTACATTTTTTTGTTGTTGTTTTGCTTTGTTTTGTTTTTTGAATGTCCAGAGGACCAGATTGAACTTTTTTAGACAATTAGGAACAAGTGGGAGCAGCAAGAGCTAGAGCAGACCACAAGGGGTAGACACACGTAGTATTATTATATATTATATATACTGTATGCATTATTGTACTATAAACACAAATGCTCAGAAAAGTGAACTAGCAAAACAGTAGCCTAATTCTTAAACTAGCAAAATAGTACCTAAAAGCTAAAATTAGCAAAGCAGCACATCACACTATTTCTGATCGAGTCAAATGTATGGATATATGAATGGTTAAGATGGAAAGTATGAGGAGGTAGTTTGCAAGACACTTTAAACCTGAAAACAAATGTGTGATGAAGGCTGAATCTGCATTCCCACAATAATCCCTGTAACTGTGTTGTCCTTGCTGCAGTACTTCAGCTACAGCGTGCTGCTGACCCTGCTGGCCTGCTCCGTGTTCCTCCACATCAGCAGCATCGGGAAGCTGGCGCTCATGCTGCTCATCCAGCTTGTCTTCCTCCTGCTGGTGGAGTGGCCTCAGGTGGCTCTGTTTGACAACGCTGACCTGCTGCTCAACGCCAACAGGCTGTAAGTCTGCCGCCAATAACACACGGAAATTTACTAATACTTATGGTCTGCGTCACATCGCTGTGGTTTAGGTAGAAGACGGCCTATTTTTTCAAGGTTTAGAACGTTAAAGACCTACTTCTGAATGTTAAGTCCTATTTTTGAATATGTTCTCATTTTGTCCTCAGGCAATTATCACCTGTTAATGACTCCCTGCAACAGTAAGTTGTATCTTGCGTTTTGTTCTACTTTCTTTAAGTGGTGCATGTGATAAGTAGGCTTGACTTTCTCATGTCTTTGTTCCAGACTTAGTTTCAATGAAACTGCAGAACAGTGGTATGGAGCTTTCATTTGTGTTCAATCCTGGTAAAATACTTTTTTTTTTTTATTCCAAATCAAGACACTGATTTATAATTCCTTTGCTTCTCAGCCTGGAGGATGTGACTAAGGTACCCCTAAAGGTCATGATTCCCGTAATCCTGATGGTTTTTGTTCTGGCTCTCTACTTGCATGGCCAGCAGGTGGAGTCTACTGCACGCCTGGACTTCCTCTGGAAACTGCAGGTAAAAATATGAATTATTGCTCACTGCCAAAATGTGGTAAGTGATAATGTTTTCTCTTGTGTCTGCATCTGTCTGTTAGCAACATTTTAAGAAACTTGTTGAAAGTAATAGTTAAATGTACAACTACAGCTGATTAACTTTAGAAGTCCATCCAATTCAGGACGGCTGACACCAAAAGGATAACTCGGTCAGTTTTACAAAGATTAAGCTCCAGTTTGGTGTGGTAGTAGCTGAGACTCATCTCCAACACTACTACTGATCGCACAAGACCTGTTTTTAAAACTTTGCCATTAGCTTCTGGACTCAACACTGTTTGTTAGAAGAAAAACTCATGAACCTCATCTCATAATCTCATGTGTTGCTGGTGGTGTACTCCATGAGTCTGGTCTCCTGCTAGCCTGACTGAGTGACCTTTTTGTCTCTTCTAAGGCCACAGAGGAGAAGGAGGATATGGAGGAGCTGCAGGCGTACAACCGCCGCTTGCTGCACAACATCCTGCCCAAGGACGTAGCCGCCCACTTTCTAGCACGGGAGCGGCGCAACGATGAGTTGTACTACCAGTCGTGTGAGTGCGTCGCCGTCATGTTCGCCTCCATCAGCAACTTCTCTGAGTTTTACGTGGAGCTGGAGGCAAACAACGAGGGGGTAGAGTGTCTCCGGCTGCTTAATGAGATCATCGCAGACTTCGATGAGGTGAGATGTGCGGTGATTATTGCAGAAGAGAGAACTGATTGGATAAAGTGTGTGAGAAGAGAAATGAAATCAGGACAAATCGGCAGTTTCTGTGAAAGGCTGTGTGAATGTTGAGCACCGAATGACTGCTGAAAATTGTTAAAAGATTTGAAACTGAACTGTTAAATTTAAGCCAATCACAGCAGAAGCTAAAATGAACAAACTCTGCAAAAAGTAAAAATTAAAAATACAGTACCGGTAGTTAAAATCAGCTAAAGACTAACTAGAAAAACATCTAAAATTAGCAAAAGTGTAGCTAAAAGCTAAAGGAGAGGAAAGATAGTAAGAAACTTAAAGAAACAGGATGGTAGCTGAAAAGTAAAAGTAGCAAAACAAGTGATATGCTAAAATCAGCCAAACAGTTTCTAAAATTAGCACAAATGTAGCTAAACAATACAAAGAAAAAAAGACAGTTAAAAACTTAAAACATCAGAAAGTTATCTAAAAATAGCAGAATAGAGACTAAAATCTAAAAGTAGCAAAAGAGTAGCTAAATGTAGCCGAGTTGTCGCTAAATGTATCAAAAGGTAGCTAAAAGTTGCAGAATGGTAGCTAAAAGCTAAAAGTAGCAAAAGAAGACAAAAATATAGAAAGTACATTGAACCACAATTCAACTAATAAATTTTTTTGAAAAAATTTGAGATGTTGATTTATAGCTGTATATTTTTTAATAAATGTAAATGTTTTGTAAATTAACGAAATGTCTTCAAACATAAGACTTAGCACACTATTACTGAGCGAGATGAACATTGTAATGTATAAATTGTTAAAATCTCACAAAATATGCATAAGCAGTTTATGTGCAACCCTTGTCCAGAGAAACAAACAGTAAATCAATAGTGTAAATGCTGACACAAATGTTTGTTTGATGCGGCTGATAAACACAGTTTTGCTGGTGGTGTGAGGTGTTCTTGCTGTTGATCTGCACCGCTCTCGTTTCCTCCTCTCTTGTGCGGCTGATTGCATGTCTCCAGATCATTAGCGAGGAGAGGTTCTGTCAGCTGGAGAAAATCAAAACCATTGGCTCCACCTATATGGCAGCCTCCGGCCTCAACAACTCCACCTACGACAGAGAGGGCCGGTCACACATCCTGGCTCTGGCAGACTACGCCATGAGGCTGAGAGAGCAGATGAAATACATCAACGAGCATTCCTTCAACAACTTCCAAATGAAGATAGGTAAGCCTGGAAGACAGAGGGAGTTGTTCCACGCACATTATCTGATAAATCTTCTCTTGATGGGCTTTGTTGCGTTAGCTACGGGCAAATAAGACTAATGTTCTGTTTTTAGAGACTGCATTGCTGTTTCGTTTAAATGACTGAAGCCTCACAGCAGCATGATTTGTTCTCAGGATTGAACATGGGGCCTGTTGTAGCCGGGGTAATTGGAGCCAGGAAACCACAGTACGACATATGGGGGAACACAGTTAATGTGGCCAGCCGAATGGACAGCACCGGAGTACCGGACTGCATCCAGGTACCTTGTTGTTGCTCACCACTGAAGGTGAAAGGTGATAATGTTTATCGCACTGGGTGTTTCTCTGTGTGCATGTTTGTGTGTCTGCAGCATTAGAAAAATATCTCATGAACCAGTGGATAGGTTAAATGGATTAACATCTACAACAGATTAACATTAGTAGTCTGTCGCTACTACGCGGTTCGTTTATTGTGGACTCGCTCTATCGCGGTTTTTCAAAATAAAATTAGACATGGCACACAAATGGCTGACTGATGGATGAGCTGCACGATCGGCATGGAATTTTTATTTAAAATAAATTATTATACCTTTGTGCAGCCCACACTGCAGGATAAACTTCCTTCTGCAGCTGATCAGCTGTTCTCTGTGCAAAGCGGAGAAGTGGGCGTGGCCAAGGGCGCTTGCAGGTGGCAAAGAGCAGAGGAGGCAGAGAGATGAAATCATGACATTCTGTGCTCTTTTAGAGCGTTTAGAG